ACGGGTCTGCATACAAATTTAAGGCGCCTACTCCGAAGGTTAGAGCTCCTCCTCCGCGCATAATTGCCAATCATATACCAGACAAGCCCCGTCTTAATTGATGGAACCAGGGCCCACACTTTGAAGCCTTACATTCTTAGCCACTTGCAGATATCTTGATGGAAGGTGCAGTGAGGTATTATATCAGGATGGCCGCATTTTCCACCGTTTTCGTAGTTTTTTCCTGTTCGGCTACGGGGAGCAATATCCTAGTATCATATCTTGTTCTTATTTTGCCCAGAATTACGAAAATGAGGGGGCGAGAGGAAAGTGTTATACTCCAGAGGGGGGTGGGGTGAGCGATCGAACAAACCTGGCCCCGCAGCCGCGCCTGGGCGGAACCTTGGGTTCACGCTACGATACACCGGGACCTCCGCCCGATTCCGCACTGGGGCGAGAGGCAGTGAGCGGTGATGCTGCGGGAGACGAGAGTGTCCGCCATTCCCTGTCCTATCCGTGGTATGATACCTAATTAATGGCTATCGAGTGATTTTGTGTGATGGCGGATAACCCGAGGGCTTTTTTTTTTTTTGGAGAGAGAGGGAGGGGAACAGGCGATAAAAGTTCTACTCGTAGAAAGCTCAGAAAAGTGCCCGAGTTGGATTTTTGCCTGAAGTACCGATACATAAGTTTTTCATATAGTTGTGGGGAATTGAATTGTGATTGTTATGATCCGGTGGGCGGATGTCGACGCACGGATGATTTAGACCGCCGTATGAAAGTGAAGCACGGGCGGGTGAGGCGAGAGCCAGGGAAGAAGAGGAGTTAAGTTAGTTAGTCCCAACTGCTGGGATGATAATGCTACGGTACTTGTGCGAGTATTATTATAAGTTATTCGTATCCCCCCGTCGACGTAATAATAATACCTCCTTGGCAGCCGAGAGGGGGTTGGAGAAAGGGAACCTTCCTCATACCGAGGTTTGCAAAACCATTATGATAGGAAAACCCCGCGGTTTCCCCGGCTGGCCAGCCATTCGAAGATCCACAAGTTTCACCGGGAACCGAAGAGGGAAGTGCGGGATCTCTGGTAACTTATCGTACGGTGTTCTTTGCCAATGGCCTATCAATCATATACTCACTCGCAGCCTGCCGGGAGAAGTGAGTGATGATCAATGACCCGATTTCTTTTATGTATGATAAGTTAGTGTGGTTTCCCACGTTTGAGAGAGAGAGAGAGAGAGAGAGAGGAGGGTGGTGATGGTATAATGAATGTTTTTTTTGTTTTTTTTGTCGTGGGGTACATACAGTTCTTTATTGCACTTTATCTGGTTTTCTCTGAGGGGGTTTAATTTACTGGCACTGTACGAATACGAATACTGGCAAGCGTAAGTCGTCGTGAGTGTTCATGGGTTGCTAATTCGGGTATGGTCTCTGTAGTCTGCGGTGCCGGTGGTTCTTGTGCGGTCCGTATGATATAGTAAGTGTGACGTAGTATCATGGACTACATGTGGTTAGGCCTATGGTCATTCATGGGACTAGAACCGCTCGCGATCACCTCCGCTCCGGGGTGCTCCGGCGTGATAGGCACAGGTGTATAGTGCGGTGTACTTCGTACAGACAAGGACGTATGGATTAGGTATGCTTTAGAGTTGTGTTTGTCAGGTGCTATATAGCGGTATCATGGTGGTGAGCCAGGCTGTCATGCTATTGCGTGTATAAGGGTATTGGTTATGTCGGGACCGGCTTTGTTCTCTGCACTGGATGTATGAGTACAGTACTTGCACAAGATAATGGGGCGGGGGGAGATGTTCCGGGATTATGCGGTACGCACACTTCATTCTAGGGGTCTGGGCTGTCGTGTTATCATGTGTAGGGGTGTGTGTACCATTTCAGGAGCGACTTCGCATACTGCGAGGCATGGTAAGGTCCTGGTACTACCGTACTGTACCATGCAATGGCAGAAATCCTAGTATGCCGTTGCTGCGGCCTTTGGGGATTGGCATATTATGCTTGCATAGTACATACTGCGTGCTAGTGCTCGAGCAAGTCAGACCGTCGTGCCAAAGCACGTGAGAGTATATATGTATTAAGACTGATTCTGTGCATTGTCCTGTAGCACAATGCGGTAGGCAGAGGGGGGAAAACCGTATATCGTACGGTGTAGGGCTAGGACAAATATACCCACCGGCATTCTCTTTGGCAAGTTAAAGGTTCCGATATTGTGGCTGCATAGGTTATGCGTGACCTCCTATGTGTATGATACGGGGGGATCTAGGGCCAGTTCCTCACCTTATACTATAGCATATCATACTATACTTGCGGGCAGCCGTCCCCAGGGAAGGTGCAGCAAAAGTGATGAGTAGGGCATTATATTCCCCCCGACCTCCACCGCTGTATCAAGCACTCGTTCATGTCCTCAAACTACTCCTGATACCACCACCACTAATACTAACACTAATACTATTTGTCACCCTGTAGACTTGTAATGCCCCGAAAAGTTTAGGCGAAGAACGAAGATAATGCCGCCGCCGCCGACACCGACCACACCGAATGACATTAATCCTTCTATAAAAGGAGAAAAACATGAAAAGAGGATAGAGAGCCACCATGAGAAGAAAAGAAAAGAAAAGGGAAGGGGAGCTATTAAAAAGTAGAAAAAACGCCATTCTTTTGCTCATTTACAGAATCATCAATTCGTTGGTCACGCTTCATAGTTTTCCCCTGGCGTGTCAGTCAAGGGAGCTCGCCTCAACGCTCGGAATCGCCGACGCTAACGCAGCAACAGAAGGCGCAGAATGCGTGGGATATTTTTGTCCAAACTCCGCCTTCCCGAAAACTACCTGCTCTGCTCCTGCTGCTTGGGCTCCGGAGCGAGTCAGGAGTGCGCATGTTGTCGGCGGGATAATTATCGGGTAGGGTAGCAAGTACAGGGGCGCGATGGAATGGATGCGAGGAGAGAGTCCCATAGGAACGATTCATGGACACGGCGGGGCGGAAATTCGGTTGGTGGGGGAAGGGGCGAGGGGACGGTGGTAAACCGCGGGTGAAAAAAGCATTGCTAACAGGAGCTGATGTAGGATGGTTTTGGGAAGGGGATGGATATGGCGATTCTATTTGCTAATGTTAGAGCCTTTTCCCTTCCGGATTGGATGGAAGGCGAATATATCAAGGTGCGCTGACCTGTGTGCTGCGGAGCAGATGTTGACAAGGCTGGGTGCAGCGGTTGCGTTGGACTCGCATACTCATAGTAATACTGCTCGAACTCCTCGTCCTCCGATTCATCTTCCTCCGTCGGAAGCTGGGTATAGGGCTCCTGGTCTCTCTCCTCTGGTTGCGTTCTTGCACTCTTCTGCTCCGAGATGGTCTCCAATAAGGAGAGGCCGGGGAGGCGAGAGATATCCCTTCCACCGGGCGGTGAATTAGTCCCGTCAGGATTCGAGGAGAGGAGATCGGCTGCCTGCGGCTTTGCTGTCTCAAAACACACTGAAAGGGGTTCCTTATCGCCTAGACACTCGTCATCCGAGGCCACCGGAGATGCCTCATAGATAGAGGGATGCGGAGAGCATCCATCGTCGGACCCGTCCGCCAGAGGGTGCAGAACTCTCCGCTGCTCACAATGGAGCCGAGGGGAAGGGGTGGGCCTGAGGGCTGCTGGAGGGGAGTTCTCTGCCGAAGAGGGAGATGGTAAACCTAAGCCGAGAAGGGAGGCTCGCCCGGGGGAGGGCGTGAAAGGTGGAAAGAAGTCGGCCATGTTGGAATCTTATCTCAGCGGGACAGGTACAATATTAGTGGTACCACAGCACACAAGGAGCTCAACCGGCCTATAGTATGCGCTGCGCCCGAGGAGTGGCATAGATAGGAAGGGAAGTGGTAGAGTGAAGGTAAGTTCACTTTAGGATAGCGGAGGAGAGTGGAGTGGTAATTTTTTTCCTGTTTATCCCACGAGAGATAGGTGGGTAGACAGGATGATGAGGTTGGGCGGGGAATGGATGAGGTAATTCACTGTACGAGTAGCGTGCAGCGGTAGAGGGGGGTGGAAAGGCTGTTCGTCAAGTGAATGTGTATGAATGCCGTATGGTACTGTGCTACAGTACCATAATCCGGGGAGCGCGAGTATCATACGTTGGAATAAGAAGCGGCTGATGTGAAACTTGCAATTGCGTCAAAAACAGGGCCCTGAAAGGTTTAGTCCTGGATATATAGAGTTAGGATGTGGAGTTCTATCCCCATTTCGAGACGAAACAGGGATAAAGATCTTGTTTGAACGTACTCGCACCTGACCCTTCTCCCCAGATCACACGAGCGAGTGTGTGTGCAATATACGGTAGGAGGGTATCATACCATCTGGGTATGAGATTGGTACTCGAGTGCAGTACCGTAAAGGGTTTTTTTTTCTTTTCTTCTCTCCTTCCAGTCCCAGTCGTGCACGAGCAGTTTCCCTAATTTCGGCTGGAGACCACCTTATATAGGGGATCGCAAATGTCAACCGCTGTCCCCTCTCTGCCCCTCTCCCCGCTGTCCGAATCTGCTTTGTGGGGAAAATCCCCACCGCATGTGCACTATAATTCACGTGCGCGACCCATAGAAAAGCCCCGCTGATCGATTGATCCGCGGGTATTGATTTCCTTTTGAACTACGGTAGACTCAAGCTGGCCTGATTCGGTATCGGAGATGGGCTAAGTCCCCCTGGTTAAGGTTTCTCGTATCACCGAGTGCTCGGGGGATCAACTCATTCTCCGCAAATGGGTTTGATGTCTTTTCATGGTCGGAGAAGGGTGAGCGTCGCATACCAGTATTCTGGCGAATAAGCATCCTTGTATTAAGGCCCTCACGCTAATCCGTGTGGTACTGATACAAAGGGGGCAGGTAAGCTCCTATGAGAACCCCGGCCGGGTGAAGGGAGTACAGTAGTATCTGTGCTGCAATATCATGTGCTATGTACAGTATGGTGGTGTTATAGGGAGGAAAGACGTAACGTATCCCACTGTGAAGTGATACAATACATACTATACTACTAAGGAGTAATAACTCTACCAATTCTTGACTGAATTAAATAAGATAAAAGGGATAAAGATAAAGGGAGTAGCAAAAGGTAGTCAGGAATTAAAATTAACAAAAGAATGAAGGCAATACTAAGAGGATCATGAATAGAGTAAAAAAGAATGTATTGAATGTAATGGAAGAAAATAAGTAAAATAAATACAGTAGACTATGTAAAATCATGTATCAGAACATAGTAGGTATCTATCTATTAGTAGGAATTGTTAGAAGTAGCATATTTGTGATTTGAAGAGAGTATTAAGGCAGAGGAAGTAGTAAGATAGAGTAGAGTTTTAACCCTTTAGTTACTAATATGAATAAGGGTTTTAGGAAAGACAAAAGAGAAAAAAAATTATAACTAACTATAAGAAGGGTACTACAAAGTCTATAATATATTTCTAATACCTAACTATAAATAGTTCAAGCTGTTTTTTGGTATTGTTACTTATTATATTAGTCTTTTATATATAGTAAATAGTAATACTATAGGACTAGAGTAAATTGAGCCAAATACTATAAAGCTAAATAATACTACAATTCAAGTAAAATACAAGGAAAAGAAAGTTAGTATAATAGTAATAACTATATATTATTGAATAAATAAATAGAAAATATTTAAGCTTAATAAAATCTTAACAGATATTTATATAAAATAATTTAATATTATACTTATAATGAAAGAACCATTTAAATTATATTAATATTAATTTCAGAGACAGACTAGTCTTATATTGACCCCTTATTACTTAGGGCCTGTTTGGCAATGACTATTCTATTCTATTCTATTCTATTTGTACATACAAAATAGCTATTTATGAATAGAACCATAAGACAATTTGTATGAGGGGCCAATGGAACAGAATGGTCACCGCCAAACAGGACCTTATTGTTGGTCCTATTTTACTTTTATCCTCTTTTAAAGATCTTTCTACTTTAATTTCTTTTAACCCTTATATTATTATATCAGTTTCCTTACTGCTTTTCCTAGCTTCTTGAAATGGTAAGTATATATTCTGAATAACCTCTAATGGTAAAAGAATACCTAATATTTCATATATACAATTTTACATAGTTCAATGTATTTATTTTATTTGTTTCCCCATACTATCTTTAATAGGTCCTTTTTTGCTCTTTTTGTTGATTCTCTTTAAATTGGTCTTAGTTTTTGTCAATTTTTATTACTAGCTACTGAGTAGTACCTTCTATAGTACAATCATATTAGTGATAAAACTGTCTAGATACAAGCCAGCTATTCAGGCTGGGATAAACGAGAAGAGACTCTACAACTTATAGTCTTTAAAGATAGAGTTTTGCCGGTCAAGCCATTGCTTTTATTTTGGGGCCAATAAATTGGCCTTACTACTAGTATACATCTGAAGTGAATATAATATAACAATCAGGTTATTGTAAAATTCAACCTGATCACATATATCAACTCAAGCAACATGCTCAAGTGGCTTAATAAGCAATTGGTTTCTGTACTTAAAGGTCAGCCAACTTTACTTGCAATAGACTTTTTTTCAGATTATAGAATAAAAAAGGGTTTAAATACCTTTATACTAATCTATATTATCATATCAAGTATAATATTTGAAGGCTGTACAGGACTTGTACAACCTCTTGATGTCTCAATTAACTATCCTTTTAAGAATATACTAAAGGTTAATAATTGTATAATTAAGAAGAAAGTAGGGTAAAAACTTATTTTATTTTATTTTTCCTATAGAAGGCAATGAATAAGAGGTTAGCAGTAGTAGAGGATGGGGAGGAAAAGGCTTTGGGGGAGGGGAGAGCACTCACTAGAAGTATAATAGGCCAGAGGAGAATAGTTCTAACATACTAGTAGGTAGTTGGTAAAGCATGAGAATGCTTTTCAACCTAGTAGATAGAGGTACTAGTTGGCTACTTCTTCTATATGATTGGCTTCTTACTTCACATCCATGGGAGGGAGGATCATGAAATATCTATAAAAGGGTTAGTAAAGTAGATCTTGGTAGGGGGGTTAAGGAATTGAGAAAGGAATAAAGTAGAGAGAAATAAGGTAGAGAGAAATGAGATGGAGAGAAATGAGGTAGAGAGGAATGAGGTGGTTGATTGTTCAGATGGTGCTAAGAAGCAACTAAATTTTTACTATAAATAGATTGCTAAGTGTTAGTAAGACTTATATCATACATATGATTTTTATGCTAGCCCCTTTTCAAAATATATCTTAGTTTAACTGTTTAATACAGTATCTAATTGTTCAAGTTTTTACAGTAAATGTAATTAGTAAAGAGGAGGAGGAGATCTTATCAAATAGAGGAAAACTTACTAGAAATATAGTAGTGTCTCAGTTTATTGCAACCATTTGGGCCATTAGAAAGGCTTGGACAAGATTCTCATAAGAGAAGCTACTAGTAGATGCTATTCAAGTTCACTGTTTATTTCATATTATTAGATTAGTACTTCTGATTAATAGAAGTTCTAGTACAAGGTACTTTGGTAGATGGAGAGGAGAGGTTTAACTAGATTGATAAGAATTTAGAGGATCATATCAGCAATGGTAATAAAGAAGTTGATGAAGTAGAAGATGATAAATTTTTTATTCTTTTAATTAGTGCTAAGAAATCTGAATGTGATATTGCATGATAGATAGATTACCACCTTGACAAGACTTACTTTAATTTCACCTCCTAGCACACAGCTTATTTATTTAAGTTTTTATGGTATCTGGAGATTTCATATAAGACATAAAGT